ATATATATATGGAAGAGGCTTTTCGAGACGCTTAGTCGTACGGGAGAATTTTGGAAGCTGTAAGGGGAAGATGACCAGCCGCAAACCTTGACACTCACTCCTGACCATACTGAGGCTTTTGGAGTTATTAAATCACGGATAGTGGTACTTGTTTAAATAAAAAACACATAAAAGCCAGGTAAAGTTATCTGTACAATCAAATTATGAAACAACCATCGGGCTATTCTTTGCTTTATATTATTTAAGATCATCATACCTCAATGCCGAATAACTTTTAGCTTCAACCATAGAAACAGTACATGTATTCGGTTATTCATTCACAAAGTTCAAAAATAAAAACAGCCGTATTCATTGTTTCTAATTGGTGTGTATACGGCCTATATATCACGTTTTTTTAATTTTACAATCTATTGTTCTCCTCTGCCAGAATCGTTGTAGCTGAGTAGGTGACAAAATCAAACCAACCGCCTGTCGAACTCGTGACCTGTGTTAGACCTTTTGGACCAGTAATTTGTAGAAGGAAACAAATAAATCATAAGAATCAACCTAAAGTCGCGCCGGTAAATAATGTTTGAGTTTTGCAATCATTTTTCTTCTATCTTCTACAGGACGCGTTGTAAACGATGAGTTGTTTTATAGTTAAATATCTTATTTTAAAAATAAATTACGATGTGTATTCACTCACTCTTGCCGTGTTACTGAATAAACAAATGTTCAGTCAAATTTCAGAAATAAGCCGCCTTTGTGCAAAGACTACCAGGAAAAATACGTAAATTTTGTGCAGCATTTCAAAAAGAACAATTTGTCATGTATATAGCAAATCAAGCGTGAATTGAAACGCTAAAAAGCACTGGACAGCTGTTTCGACTGGTTGGGTCTCATCAGCATTATGAATCCATCGACCCAACTGGGGATCGAACCCGGACCATCACGGGCAGGACGCAGGTATGCAACCCAATCCGCAACCAGAAAGCTGATCAGACCGTTCTTTATTTTCCATTTATATGATATAGCACAACCCAACTTTGCGAGCTTGTTGCCGGCTACAGACCTCGCTCATCTCAGCACTAGCCTCCGGGTTATGACTCGGTTGCAAACAGTCACAACCCAAATACTTATTTCATGTGAGTAATGGACGATTTTAATCAATTTGATTCAATCGAGCCATAAACCTCGGAGGCTAAATTTAAGATGAGCGAGGTCTGTGGCCAACAAGAAGGTAACAAAGATTGACTACCTAACATCGTGTAAATGCAAAATGCAAAACGGTCTGATCAGCTGCCCGGTGGTCGAGTGGGTGGCATGCTTGCGTTCTGCAAATGAGGTTCAGGGTTTGATCCCCAGTTGGGACGATGAATTTTCGCTGTTACTGAGACCCGATCAGGTCGAAACAGCTGTCCGGTGCGTCCTAGCTGTTCAGTTCACGCTTCATTTGCCATATACACGATTAATTTTCCCTTCGAATATACAGAAATGGAGAACGTGATTTGCTTTGATGAGATTTGAAATCAGGACATCCAGATCGCTATTTCGATGAACTTGAGTACTTGACTACACTTCAACGGCGAGGGACCCAAACAAGTAACAAAACTTTATCCAGGTGCGGCATAAAACTTGATTTTCTACTTCTTGTGATGAATTATACAGAAGTATATTTCACTGAACATATCTTTCGCGTAAATGACTTAAAAACATATTTCACTCCAGTGGGATCGAATAATGAATGAAAATATATGTGACTCACCCGTTCACCAAGCCAAACAGAATGGAATTCGGTGCGGTCCCTGTAATAGTTGCAATACCACCACACGTGGATGAATAACATATACTCAAACTGAGCCCAATCGAAAGCTTTCTCATCGCTTTCATTTGATTCACTGTGTCATTTTCCGCTTTCTTATAATCTGCGGATTGTACCTCGACCATTCCTGTGTTCAATGCCTGGTGAAGATCTGGGTGCTGTTCTGCAGATGAATAGTCCGGACGGGTTGCAACTGCAGTTTTTATGGCTTGTTCTAACATCTGCGGCATCTCGCGCTTTCTGTGAAAATTTAAAAGTAATTAACTGTCAGCTTCGTGCACGTAAAATGCGCTCCAAAGTTTCACGTCAATCAACAACAATCGCCCCATTACCAAACACGAGGTACCAACTGGCAAACGCACCTTAGATAAAGTGTCAGCACGCATACAAAAGGCACGATTGGTATTTATCAACTTGAAACATCTGTAGCGGCGTCGCGACATCCGGATGTCGGTGAAGGGTCCAGTTTATGCTGAAGCCGTTCGGTCAGTTCGGCAATACGGTGCAGAAGCTTGGGAATTACGGGAACAGGATAAAGATAGACTGTTGGTGTTCGAAAATCGCTGTCTACGCAGCATTGCACGATTCTGGTAGGGATACCGGACGAGTAATGCTGCGGTTGGACGTAGAGTTTTGGGTAATCTCGGTTGTCTTCTGGAATAAGTGGTTGAACCCCATAAACTACGTTGGTTGGGACATGTTTTGAGCGTTTTACCAAATAGAACGCCTTGGTGCGCGATGTTCGCTGAGGCAGGTAGTGGCTAGGAATAAAGCCTGGGCGGTAAAAACTAAGATTTATTGTGAGGGTTTGGAGGCCCTTTCCAGGATACTGGGTCATATAGGTCCAGTAAGGCTCCCTGGATGGGACCCAGAGATCATGGTCAGTGGTGGTTAGATACATTGAGGGATATGTCTAGGTGCCGCAAGCAATGGCGCTCGCGCATCTACTCATTATTTTTGCAACCTCAGTCTATATGAATTCTCTATCTTCACTGTGAGTCTGCTTTCAACATTCCCATATTTATTCCGCTGTTTTATCCAAATGGGCAAGTGGCAAACAAAGTCAAAATTGAAACTAAAAACCGAAAAAGACCTTTTTGAAATTTCGGCTCATTGCCTGCATCCCGGGCATTTTGATGGGGTTTGGAAGGCTCCGGATTAAAACCCCATCGACACACCATCATATTAAAAACCCTAACCATTTTGCATACATCCGTCATAGAGGTATCCTGGATAACCTTCTTTCTGCGTCTCATTTTTCTTATCCTCGCGTGTTAAGAAGAGCAAGGCTGTCCGAAAATGTTTTCTGAATTACACAAACAGGTGATGAGCCACAATTGTTGTTTCATATTGGTGAACAGTAATACATCCACAATTCTGCCCTCTAAATTTCATACATATGCATCAATATTAAAAACCCTGATGGTAAAAAAACATCTGAAGCATAATCACAGTATCAACGAGGAAATGTATCCTTCTAGGTAAAGAGTGCTGCTCAGAAATCTAAACCTATCAGAACCGTGCCCGATTCCGAAGTTGACTTCTTTTTCCCACTCTTTTCTTCGGTTTCACTAAGACGTGATGCTCCGGTATGAATGACCCCTCAAACTGGTTGTTTGCGATAATGGTTTCATAAATACTCGACGACAGAACTGCATCGGATTCAGCCTAATAAAAACAAATGATCGCTGGAATTTGACCTAAAGACAGCGAACAACGTTAGCACACACAACTTTTTGTTCAAAAATACAAATCCCTCGGTGTAAAAACTATGCATCCGTAGAAATAAATCTGATTCGCGTCCGCCGCAAATATTCATTATTTTTGGTAGTGCAAGTGTACTTCGAGGCTCGGTTAGGTTAAACATACCCAGCTCGATACGTACCACAAATATAACTACAGGGAGAGACGACTTCTTTTTCCGAGCGGCCGTCCAGCAACTGGTGACAAGGTGGATATGCTCGTTCTGTCGTTCTTCGTCTGAGACCAGTAAGGATGGTTGCCAGTACAAATCAATTTATGCCCTTCGCAAGCATGGTTATGGATGTTTGTATGACTGTAAATATTCATGTATGTACTTGTATGATGTATGCAGGTATAGCAGTATGAAATGATAATTTGTATGTACGTAGGAAAGTAAATTGTCAAGAGTATGCAAAGTGGTGGATTCGAGTCATCCAGGTGTATAAGCTCGTTACATTAAAATTTCAACCCTTGAATTCCCACGAAACTATGATGAAAGAAAGCTCTAAATGGTAAAGTATCTGACCTGTAGGTTTGTTGGAATCCTGAAGCTCTGCACGCCTAGGAACAAGTGTGAGTTTAGGGGACAACAGTAACGGTCCGTGGTAATTATGACTCTCCACGGAAATTGAGAAGTAATATTCACAGGTATTCCTCCCGAGGAACACCTAGTAGGCGACAGCAAATTTACCATACGGTTTCCCTTATCGCACTGAAACGATGTGTCAACCCCTCACTGTATTACTGAATACGCCTTCGCAAGACGAAATTTAACCTCCCGTGGCTGAACTTCTGGTGGTTAGCGGTTCAAACGATACCAAGGACGAACATCTTCAAGACTGCCCTCTGCCTAATGCGCTATTTTATCCTCTTTTCCCGCTAACATTTCTTCTATGAATGTGAGCAGTTCTTTGTTTCCTACTATGTATGCGGATGATACACAAAATGGATAACCCAAACCAGCCCATCAGTGCGGTCTATTCCACAAGATGGTATGACGGAAAACACGGAATGGTATCCAAATAAACAAGATGCATTGTTGTGATATATCTTTTTCCGTTTAAAAAGATGAAAATTACGATGAATTATCAAATTCCGGTACCCCTTATTCATGGTAAATCACCATATCGACAGATAACAATCCACAAGATATTTTGAGTTATATTTAACCATAACCTCACTTGGTCGGATACCATAATTAACGTGTTCCTTGAGATGTGAAGGATAAAGCTTTATGTTTTGCGTCTTAGATAATCTTCTTGTTCATATTTATCTCATAAGGTATTTTGTTTTCGCTTGCGTTCTGCTTCACTGGCTTTGTAAGTCACCTGTTACTTTCCTCGATCTATTATAAAAAATGTAAGGTGATATCTAGGTCCGTCAAGATTCATTCAGTATATAGCTGTATTCCCATGAACACCTGGTATAGTGGTTTGTGACAAACCAGATCAAATCTGACTGTTCCATCCCTGGCATCCTGCTTTTACCTGTCTTTTTATTTATTCACCTGATCTAGTTATAAACATAGAATCACGCACTGAGGATTACGGACGTTCTAGCTCCCGTATTCAGCTAGATTTCCAAAATTTATGAGCTTGTTGCAGATGATCTGCGAAAGGTGATAACCTAAAATCATCAAGAATGCCATGAGATAGCATCAACTTTCTATTGTTGTTGCTGTCTTCCAACCGTCGGTACTATATTCCCCTTCTAGCTGCGTATCCATCTCCTGGGTGCATAAAACGTGATTTGATTAATCAGTTGCAAGAAATTGTTTTTCGTGGTTCTGCGGCACTTCGTTTCAACGTGTTTTACAAATGTCTTATAATTATTTTTCGATGTCGTTTTGCCTAATTAGGGAGCCCCGCTTTATTACATACATTCGTAACAACAAAATACTTTTCTAGTCTATTTGATTCCTGTCATCTTTTCGGACACGCAATTTAGTCTGCTCGTAACTGCATTTTTATTGTGCGATTTAGAAATATGTACGCTATAATGATTAAATATTTTGATCTCATCGAGTAGAATAAGAAATGGCTGCTACTCTTTATTTGTCAATTCAGCTTTCTCCTAATTGAACTGCTTCAATCTGGCACAGCTTTCATGATCATTTATAAATTAGATTAACAATAATTGCAGATCGCGTTAAAGAACTCACTGTGTTCCATTCCCAGCTCCTGCTCCTTCAGTTTGTTGTAGAGCTATGGATTGAGAATATAAATGAATACGTATACAAGTGTTCCGTTTATACAACGGCACAAGCATTAGGAATACGTAAGCAGCTTAACCTCCAGTGAAAAGAGACTAATGGGGGAGTATATAGCAATGACCAGTTCGTGGTCGTTCCTTAGACGATACTCTACGAGACTGAATAAAAATTGCTAACCTTGCTACGTTGAAGGACAGGCCTGACTGAAGTCGTATTAAAAATTGTAGTTGTGTTGATGTTGATTTGTACTGGCATTATAGCCCTCAAGATCAAGGTATTGATAAAGACAAGGTCTTGTATGTTTGGTCGTATTTGTTTTTGTGGAAAATGTGCGTGAGAATGAAAATCTGTGATCACCTTGCCGTTTTAACGAACCTAATCAGGTTTAATAAATCACAACCGACCGAATAGGGCATACTGAAACCGCAACAACTGACATAAGGTACAGTAAAACTATGATAATGAACTTACTTTCTTCAATGGAAGCTAAGCTTTGTAGCACGGCTTCGACAATGGTGATCATCATGGCTGTGGTTGCCGTATTACTCATCCACATTGACAGAAACCAAGTGGGTATCATGAATCCAAGCATCAACCTGGGGTTGGGAAAATCGACACACGTGTATGTGGCATCAAGTTCCGTGAGCGTTCAAGTCGGATACGAAATTACATTCCTCCCTCGAGATCAAAATTTACGGTAGTGCTAAAGGATTTTACACATTATCTGAAAAACCTCTATCTGTTTTGAATTAAAAACCATTAGAAAACTGTTAGCAGGAGAACGTGTTTTGGTTTATTGCTGCTTGAGTTTTCTCGCGTACAGCAGCCATTTGAATCCTCACAACCGTTTGCATGACGCGTAGTAAAAAATCTGACTGGAGCATAAAATTTGAGCATATGAATCTCCCAAGCCTTTTACAGAATGAGCCGGTTCCGTTTTCCTGATAAATGATTTATATATACAGAGTGGACGTGCAAAAATTCCATCTCAATATATAATATTTGACATTGTCAGAACATATGGCGGTTTTCATACCTGGAGTTGCCTTGAAATGTTAGAATTATTTTTCAAATTGTGACCAGAATTAGAATAGATGTGCTCTTCGGGATGAAACGCTTCACGGTAACACCTTCATTTTATTAATTTTAATGTAAACATTTGTTCTGAACTTTCTCCCCCAAGTTATTCTATTCTCCGAATGCATCACCAAATCTTTATTATTCGTGAGAAACATCAAAATTGTATTTTGCCTTCAGAATTATCTCTCAGTGCATGTGTCCCCATTCATTACAACCTGTAATTTCACTTTTGTTTCCTTGCCAATAACACATGTCCACAACTGGATACCATGTCATCACATTCATTTCACATTTTCATCACAAAAACGTACACACATTTCTACGAATGATATTTTGTTCTATTGTGTGCATCGAATTCTTCGGGACTTTAGATAAGACTGTGATAAACTCAAGTTTCACTTCAGTAGCATAAACAAAGCATTATCTGTAACAAATACAAATAGCTTACATTTTTGGATCACTTCCAACAATTCGAAGCACTGAGATTGCGATGCGCTTGTGCAAACCTCGGTGCTCAATTGCCGTGGCCACAAAAAGTCCACCGATGAACAGCATATTTGTATCCTGATGAAATTGAATGAGACAAAATGACTAATATTTCTTATGGCAATTTTAATTTACACAGTTCGAATTCAAAGTTGAATCTTTTTCATTTCAACGACGAAGGAACTGTGCTAGTGATTAGAATTATAGTCGTAGCTTGTACTTTTGTGGCTTCAAAAATATGTATTTGAAATTTTATCATATGGGTCAATACATATTTCCAAAGTGAATCGTCACGAAAAAGTGATTTTTGTAGCAATAATTGGGTATCAAAGATCGTTTTGCTGCTATTTTGAACTTTAGCTGTATTTTACTAATCACAACTGGACGTTCATACTGCACATTGAAACTGTTTGTCAGTTACACGTTACAAAAAAGGCGGTCTCAAGGATACTTCCCGGCTGTTATTGTCACAGTCGCCGTAAAGCTGCATAAATGCATGCACGGAATGGTGAAGGCTATAAAGTATAACCTGTTTTCCGCCGGAATTATCGATTTTAGTGTACACAACTAGTCCCGTGTAAAAGTCTTTCCAACAATCCTTTCCTCGGACATTGCGATTACATTCTAGATGTTGATACAAAACAGGCATCAAGATCAATTTAATGAGGATATAGATTTGAGAAGCCTTTTCAAGTTCCACTCGTCCCAGTACTCTCCTAAATTATGTCCCGTGTGCTGACTACTTTTGTAAATATCTTTGAACTTTTCCCAAAGCTTTTCAGATGTTTTGAATTTACTCTCCCTATCCATTGCATCCCGGTGCGCGAGTCTAACCTGATAACTTTTTTCTCATTCATATTCCAGTGTTAACGCCATCAAACGCAGAGACGTATTTTTTCAAGAACACTAAAAAACGACAAAAGCGCTTATGGCAAATCGCTTCATCCATCCTTTCAGGTTGGTCAGTAGAATTACTTTGAAACAATTCAAATCATCATATCTTTTGTTTTGGCCTTGAGTGTTTTGTAAAAGAAGCATTTTACTCTAGATCATCCATGGACCTTCTTTAAAGGACCCTGAAATAATCTTCCATATATCAGCAATTTTGTAGTAGCGTTACGAGTTATCCTGTCTGCATTCGTTACGATACTCATGTCTGATTGTGGGTTTTCTTTGGTAGACAAATTATATCTTCACCAAATTATAACTAGCCCTCTGATTGATAATATGTTCACTTCTGCAAGTCTATTTGCTGGATTTCTTTTTCCAAAGTTGTTATAAAAGATTTAAAGACAAATATAAGGGAAGTAGCCTAGTATTTTGAGGTTTTGACTGAAGACGGTTGGAAGTAATGTTTCTTACAGAACATTTTCACAGAAGCTAGGTTAATGTGATCCATATTACCTGGAATTCGTGAAACGGTTGAGTCTATAAAAGCCCGCTTCATAATTTAACTTCCACCGATAAATGTTGTACCTCTTATTTCGTTCGTGCTTCTACTTTTTAAAAATATCTAACATTTTCAGTAGCCCGGAGTCTGCATGCTTAGCACGGATTGACTGCTGCATTGAGTTGTCTTTACGAACGTGGAATTCCATACATCCAACCGCTAGAAAATTTCAAACTTGGCTGAAGTACCCATATTGCGAATCAGTATGGAAGAGGATTCTTTGTGGAAACTTTCAATGAGTCTTGGATTTGGAATTTCCTACGCAAACCGTCTAACTTTTCATGTCGGATGCCCGTGATATTCTCCCTATAATCTAACGTTTTTGCCCAAATGCTTAGGTTAGTTAAAATAAAAATTTACAACACAATCTGTATAAAACGCCTTAGTTTGTATTGAATCAATGCTTCTGATAAATCCAATACAATTCAAAATGGATTACTGTCGTTCACATGACTAATAAAAATTCCGCCATGGTTTCAATGAAATTACCAAGCATACCTTTCGGGGATACTTTAAATTTTCTTTTTGGTCTGTGCTGAAGACGTGGTGCGCATTTGTGCTAAGCCGATTGCTTAGTGTGAAAAATAATGGGAAATGGAGACTGTTGACCTTATCTCCAGTCAAACTTCAAAGAAGTCTTTGTGGATTACTTCATCCACATGTGCAGATTTCATCGAACCTGACAAAATACAGATTTCATTCAGTTTGGTGAATTCGTATCACGGCAAATAGTGACAAAACAGAAGCAACTGATAACTAATGGCTAAGATGATTCGATGATGAATTGCACTCCAAGTATGTCATTATTCATATTTCAAAATTTTGTTAAAACGTTATCTAGAGAACTCATTGCTCTTACCTTCATGTACGCCTCGCAAACCTGGTTGGACCTCATCAAACCAAGCACTGGACCAAGAACAACCGGTAGTAAGGCGGTAACGTAAATTGGGATCACTTCCGTCAACCAATAGCCGGCCATCAGCAATAAGACAAATGCACCTTTGGAAGCCTGTGAATAGGGCACGAGTTCAATTTACATGTTGCACACAATCAGCGACAATTGAATAAAAACTATGTAAAATACCAAACCATATCTTTCGCTCGTAAGTTGTGACCGGAAAAAGCGGAGCAGATTGATTCAGCATTTCCATTTGTTTCGTGCACATAAATGCAATTTGCGAGATGTGCACCACTGTCGCCAGCCATTCACATCCTAGTCCCTCGGTACACACAACAGCATTATATGTAAATCAGGAGCATTTTATCGACTTGACTGTGAAGAATAGCCAGAGGAATACGCAAAATGCGATTGAGACCATACGTGTACTTGTTTTGTCTTCGGTTGCATGAACCGAACTGTGATACGGGTGTTTTCATTATTAGGACTTTTACGGTAGGGTAGTATTTTCATGATGATCCATGAAAAATGAGCTAATAAGCAAGCTCTGGTTTCCGTAGGTCACAATCACTACCTTGTGCAAACTTATTTTTGGAAAACTGTTTGAACTATGATAGCAATTACCTGGAGTGAAAAACGGCAATCTAGTGCACAGGGCAGAGATAAGTTCTGCTATTTCTACGTGTTTTGGATGAATGTCCAGTTATTTAATTGATTTATTTGACTTTCCTCTATCTGATAATAGATACAGTTAAACGGAAACCGGATGTTACGTGGGCAACGTAGTAGTCACCTCTTTGCCTTATTCGCCGGCATATTTAGCGGATCTGTTTGGTTCCGGGTGAAATCGATGATCCTCTTTAGCAGTATTTCACTGGACAATAAAACCGCACCCAAAGGTAATAAATGGCTTTCGCTTGCAAGTTCCGGACACTCGCCATTTCGATACAAGGTGACAACTGTCTGGATAACTGTATCCAATGAGTTTACTACAGATCGATCACTAGGCTGTTGTGTGATTTGATGAATGTATCACAGGGATTATATCGTTATCAATTAGTTTAGATAATGCTGTCGTGAGATTGTTGACTTGTAAAGTTTCATCCTCTTTTCTGTTAAGAACCTTCAAATCTCAGTAATTTGCCTCTAAATTCTCCTGTTGTACTCTTTAATTTGTTGCTTACTGAGGATTTAGTATCATCACTAATGTTTTCATTCACCAAACAATGTTGACCAGCATACTGATAAATTTACTTCCCATCTCGCTACGAAAAAATGATTCATGAATATTCCGTTAAAAGGGAACAGGTTCACTGAAAGTGATTTTGTGTTTCAGACCCGTTGCAGTCAGATTTAGCTCGGCGTTCTCTTGATCACTGGGGATGCGGAGGTCAATGAAAGAAGAATTATCAGAAATTATCTCAGGTTTAATTTATTTCCCCAGGTGCATGTGTGATACATGTCTCAAACGTCGGACTTTAAAACGTGTTTCAGTGTATGCAGCACTTGTGACGGTTGAGTCAAGGAAAGACCGAAACTATCTCTAAATTAATCATAGTTTACCGCATTGACTTCAGAAGGAAAAAGATCAATAGAGAGAAATGGTTTTGCGGTCTTTCTAGCATACAACTCGAATAGTCAAAGCAGATTAATGTAGGACACCATCCGAGAACGAAGAAATCGTCATTTGCTTCCCATTTTTGAAATCGAGTCCAGAAAAGCTGATTCAGGAGCGTCACGTGCTTGGCCAGTTGCGAACACCATGCCAGAAGATGTTTGATCCAAGGAGGAAAAGTAGCATCATTTGTCCAAATTCACAGAGATAGCAGAAAACCCTGGCTGCAAGATAAGATCATATTCTTGAATTTCATTAGTTGCAAACGAATATCAACCGGGTAAAAAGGAACAATAAACTGTCAGTGGTTCAAAAAGGAGATTATTGAGTAAAGCCGAGACCGGTTTAGAGTCAGTGGCAAGCGCTTTTATGTGCACAGGATTGGTTTGAGGAAAACGGTCGACAAAGCCTCCACTACCACCACGCAAAATTAATGTATTTAATGTATCTACTATATATGCTTCATTCGCACTGACACCCATAGTGATACACCTGTCACAGTGAACAAGCAGTTAAGGCGTTCAGCTTAATGGCTTTACTGGATACTCAAGAACGATTATCATGCGAAACTCAGAGGAGGAGATAGCGTGCGGTGTGTTCAGTTAATAACAGTACAATAATAATAGTCAGATGTCCTACTTTGAAAAGGGTCAATAAAATGAAACGGTTCTCTTGTTCCGTTCAATTATTTCCTACTCAAAATAGATCCAATTGAAGTTTTATCAAACTTTCAATCCAAGGCATACAATTGGTTTCATTTTTTTGCTCTGCAGGCCCCATGATATCCCATCCGAACACCCGACTGGTCCGTGAAAATGATTTGGAAATATGGTGGTCATAATTGCAGTTTGCACGAATGGGATAAACACATGCACGAAACAACCGCATCTTTAAACACATTAATGGTATTTATCAACGTAGCCCGTCCTCTATCAATTACGTTATCTCAAATGCCAGAGCAATGACGTATCAAAACTGACGCTTAACCAATTTACTGACTTTTCACTACGCAAAGAAGTTTACTGATTTTCATGTGGCGCACAGCTCGATTGTACACCTCGAGTTGAGAAATGCTTGCGTTTTTGGAGCAAAATGGCTTAATGATGGATGCGCTAATAGAGAGAAGTTCGCTTGATGCTCTTTTGCTTTAAATTTTAAAATACTTTCAAACGTATGCACGAAAAAAGTACTCACGTAACATTTTGTTTATCAACTAGTTGTGTGAATTGCAATTACCTTATTACAAAGTGCAGTCTCTAGTTACTCAACAAGAGACAAAATGCCTAATATGACAGAACATTCAATAAGCCACGAGAATTTCATCAGCCATTTGGAATGATTGGCAAAATAAACGAAAACGAGGAATTTTGGCATTCATTTATTATAAACCAATTTGCAATAATCTTAGCAGTTCTCTCGAGTAGAAGAAATTTCATGGAACACTGCAAAATGCAGTCAAACTGAACATCTTAAGGAAAGAATCTTGAACTGAAAACACTTGATTTTTTTCCTAACTTCCGGATGAATTACCATATTCAGAAATATTGTCGAATGGAATCAGGACAATTCTTTGATTTATCCAACACAAGTAACTAGCAAAACCTCTCAGAAAACACTGTAGATTGATGCACACTTACATCAGATAATCTGCAGGTCAGACATGAAGGCAAAATTATTTCTGGGTATTTGCTTTTAATTTGTTTTGTCTAATTAAATGTGTTAATTCACCGATCCAGGACCTGAGTAAAATGGATGAATTCACCGGGCAGCTGGTCAGATTGTTTCATTTTGTTGACATATGAAGTTGCAAAACCCATGTTTGGAACATTTTGCAAACATCTCACCCTGCGGATCTCAGTACGAGCTACCAGGGTTATATCTCCGGATGGAAACATTCTGTAACTGATCATTTGTTACAGTGAATATCCAATCCGGATAATTTTACGTCAAAAATAGTCAGAAAGTACATTCAAGCGTTTCAGTTTATGTACCTAATTTTAATTCCACGACGGAAACCATTCTGAAACTAAATTAAATTTCCCCAATCCTCAGGACAATAGGGCCAATTATTTAACAGTATCATAAGATGCATACAATGTGTTTTTCACTGTTACCTAAAAGTTATTGTAATCGAATTAATAAATACAAGGTAAACGTGAATATAGCTGGTCGCTAAACCCTTTTCATGTATTTAAGTTGTTTTTAAGTTTTAATTATTGATTTTTATATGGTTGTTTATAACACGGACTTAAACTTAGGGTTCGTATATGGGCACAACAATACCCAAATCATAATCCGTGTAGCCTCTGAGAAACAATATAGTTTACATAACGGATGTAACCATTTTCAATCCGGCCCCCGTCGACTCGGTGTTGAAACGAATCATCAGACATAAACATCCTCATGATACTAAGTTCTTCATCACAAATTCCTAAAAGGCCTTCAATGGTCAGGAGTAGAAAGGAAGGGGAGGTGTCAAAAACGACCTTGTCAGCACACCACATACATAACCAAATCAAAAACTCACTGTTCCAGGAATGAAAGCCGGAATTAAAGCCAACAATGCCGGGTAGAGTACAATAAACGTCAAACTCCGGAAAGCCAAAAAAACGGTCCAAACCTTACGGAGTTGAATGGGCAGATGCATAGTCTTTGGCTAGATTCAGACGAAAGCGGGTAGTTGGATGAATTGGCGAATCTCGTATCTGAATGGGCGCTGTGAAAAGCTCAATTAATTTCATAAGGGATTCACATTCAAAGTGTCTACGAAGATTCGTCTATAGTTGTATTTTTACGTTGGAACATTTAACTAATATCAAGCTACTCCCATAATACGGGTTGCACACCAGTTGAATATTGCAGAGATGAAAAGAAACCGTAATATACTCGCATCCGTTATGGGAGATGGCATTCCCATGACCACATCTCGATACAATCATATTTTTGCTGTCTCAATCGAAACAATCACATTCGTTAATCCTCCGGCTGTATACCGTTCTATCGACAACATAATTTGTCGTGGGTAAAACAGAAAAACTAAGATCCATTTCTTCCTCGACCTCTTTTCTACAAGATGAGTCCAGAGGGTGTCAACGTGGTGAACTTTATAAATGGAATAAAATATGAATAGTTGTATTTGCATGGTTATCCATCTAGGTTGATGACACAATATTCATAGGAATGTGTAAAATGAATACTGAGAAAGGAGAAAAATAAAACCACTACTGGTACACGTAGTTATTTTGCAAGCCGTTCAACGTTTCCCTCATCTAAGGTTGCAAGAACATAGGCATGGATAAAAAAATTGAGACAGCGGAAGCTTCTTTTAGTTTTAAACGATGACCGCACGCATGACACAGTTGATAGAATTTAGTCGATGATGCAAATAATTATATCAATGAGCTTATTAGGTGGATATTTAATAGAAACGCGTGTAACCGTTCTCAAAGGATGGCAAGAATAATTC